GTGTTACTTTTTGCAAAACAGCCACCAGCTCTTCCCATCTCTGTCCACATACCCGTTGGAATGTGACTTCACTACTTCTTCCCTTAAAATGTAAAGTCTCTACCTCAAGAACTTGAATTTGGACTTGGTTATGTGAATTGCTTCAGGCAATGATGCATCAACAAATGTGAGGGAGACAGAGACTCGTAAAACAGTTTGTGCTTGTCGCTGGGAAGCACTCAGCCACCAAGTGAAAAAGCCTGAGCTGGCTGCCTGAAGGAAGAGAGACCAGGTCCACAGAGACCTCAGCCATCCAGCCTTCCCAGATGAGGGAACATGGAACAAGGCCACACCATCCGGTGTGGACCAGAAAAAATGCCCACAGAATCATGAGAAAGAATAGATCAAATTTTTAAAAGGAATCTCTATAGATAATTCTAGAAGAGAATGCAAAATTTTACCTATACAATGATTTATAGTGAAAGGTAACTACTGATAAACTTTCTCGTTACCACTCTCTTAGACCACAGGTAGTTTTAGCCGTATAAAACTTTCCATGAAATGCTCACTAACAGTCTACATATGATAGTTCAAAACATATTAAATTTAATTTCACAATTACTTTTCAAGCAGACCGGATGATACTACAGCAGATGTATATTTATTCATGCTTTTCACCACCACTGTCGTCTTGGATCTCACAGCTGTGTAAATGAAGCTCTTGATGAAGGATCTATAAATTCTTCTCTTCCTAGGATTGGAGGAGAAAATAAATTGTCATGTCTTAGGACAGTCAAATTTGATTTCAATTTTGCATAAAAATATTACATATGCTTGGCATGTAAACAATGTGTGCCTGTTTGTAGATGACGGATATATTTTATATATTTTGGGCTATGGAATTTAGGCATTGCTGATAATATCTGAGAAATGTAAAGACAGTTCTGTCCGTAGATAGCTAGACAGAACTATAGGACTGTATTTCTATGATGGATATCTATAGCTATAAAAAAAATCTGCATTTTCTAGCAGAAGTGAGGCATACAATTAAGCTCTAGGTCACTATTACAGCTTCTACCATTAGTAAGCTTAAAAACCACACAGTAATAAAAGACTAAGGAAAACATCTCTTGTGAGCACAAGGCTAGGAAGTTTATAGTCAGAATGTCTGCAAAATAATCATACAATACACTCTCAAAGAAAACAAATTCCTATTGTCTCACCAATTATCTTGAGGGACTTCCTGCAGATTCTAAATTACTCTGGCCATATTATTCCACAAGCTTCTTAAATTCTTTCCTATAAAAAGAAAAAAAATATTATTTTAATATCTCATACAGCTTCACCGTGAAAATTACAGAGACTAGTGCAGTTTCATTTAATTAAAAAAATACTATATTTGAACAGAGATTTATCACCTCTGCATAAGAAACATGAACGAAGCACAGAATTTGGAGTTGAAAAAGAGATTAGGGTCATTTGGCACAACGACCGTCTTCCTAAAGAAATGAGTAGCCAGACCCAGAGAGATTGTGTATTAACCCCACACAAATGAGAGATGGTCAGCGGTGCTTTCCCAGCTGAAACCCAGGCTTCAGAGCCCACAGCACGCACCCGGACATCAGACAGACCCACATTCCAACTTGAGCTTCTAGGCTTCCCTAAGCCTCAGTTTCTTCATAGGTTCAGTTGGTAGTAGTAACAGTTTTTCAAATGGAAACACACGTCAAAACTTACCAAACTGTCTCACTATAAATATGTGCTGTTTGTTATAAATCAATTATACCCTAGTAAAGTTAATTTTTTTTAAAAAAAATCCAAATTTCAGTTAAACATGGCAGCTTGACTTTGGCATGTATCTACTTTTCTTCCAAAGAGCCCACTAATCTAAAAGGGTTACAAACAGTATAAACTCAGAATGTTGAAAAAAAAGTGGAAGAAGAGCCCTAAGATGAAAATTTTCAACAAATTTCTGGAAGACAAAAAGTAGATGGTAGGATGATAACTGATAAAAGAGGGCTGAAGAAGCTGAGAGCTTCGTGAACATTTTTAAGCTTGAGCGCACATACAGAAATTGGTAACATCTGTATGGCGTAGCAGGGTAAACAGAGGTGGCATGCTCCACCTCTAAGAAGCCGAGGAGAAGTCACTAACTCAGCACACTGTAACCGATTCACCAAAATTCCGGCCTCCAAAACAGCTGGAGTGGTGGAGGAATCGATCTTGCAGAATCCCAGAGGGGTTGAGGATTCAGAAACTCAAAGTTCTAGGGAGAGCAAAATTGAGGCAGACAACTAAAATCAAGGGGATTCACCCATCTCTTCTCCAACCACTGTATGTGAAAGAAACTATCGACTCTTTTGTAAATAAACTGAATGGACCCTGAAAAAAAAGCCAACTACCTTCTGGGTGCCTAATACAGGATTGTTTCACCGGCCTGGGTGTTAAAACCCAGCTTCGACTTTCACAGCTCCTGTGGTAACAAGCAATGGAAGCAGTGGGGGCACACGGATCAGCGGGAGCAGGGAGGCGAAGCTGCTAACAACACCACTGCCGGCAGGAAAAGTCCAACGGCCAGGAAGCAGGAAGGTGATCAGTGCCCTGTGGAGAACAAAGAGGCGACTGAGGGAAGAGCTTAAAATCCCAGGGCTTTGACAGAATAATGACTCAGAGTCAACAGTGGCTGCAGTGGTCCATGAGACTAATTAAGCCATGAAAGAGAGTTCAATCCTAAAAGTTTTCGTAAGTTCATTATAGACTGCTTGAATAACACATGCATGCAGCAGATTACCAAACCTCAAGGAGGAAGTTTGGATGTAACAATAATAATAGCAAGTGCCATTTATTGGCACCACATCTCACACACTGTGCTAATTAGAAATACATGGTGCTGGTAAATGATAGTTACTATTATTGTGAAAAAATGAAATCAAAAGAAAAATCAAACATACTTATTTTATTTAACATCATGGAAAATGCATTGGACATAAGTTAAAAAAAAAAAAGCTGAGTTCAAAATGGCAATACTGCTATAGGCTGGCCACAAAGCCTTAGAAAAGATACCTAACCTCTTGGCATCTCTTCGTATTAAGGTAGGAATAGTAACACTTAGCTCAAAGGGCTGCAGTGAGGACTGAGGGACATGTAAGAAATTGAGCAGTCTTCACAGTGTTACCAAAGTGAGTAAGATCCCCATTTAGTTGTGATTTAACTGGGCATAGGGTCCCCAGGTCATGGAACATATCAAAATCTGTTAAATTCCACAGTAGACTCCATATACATGTCATACTTAATAAGGCATTCAAATTTTTTTGTTCTAAAATATTAAAATGAAACTTAAGTTTTAAAATTATTCCTTTCACCCAACTAACATGCCTGACAGTGTCCTAAGTGCTAGGATAAAAAGCAAAGAGTCTATCCTCAGAAACAGTCAAACAGGCCTCAGGGAGTGCTCTGCCAGTGGTAAGCCCAGGGCGCTGGGGGCGTGGGGAAAGGCCGCCTAACCCAGAGGAGTCCTCACCAATACAGTCAGGCACCCCAGGAGAGAATTTTATGCTCGGAAAAGCCCTCAAAGGCAGGTATTATTAACCCATTTTACGTAAAAGAAAATCAGTTAATGGAGAAGCTATGTGATTTATCCATGGCCACCACGCTAAATAGTTATAAAGTGGAATTTGAATCCAGTTCTGCCTGGTTTCAAATGCAAGCGTTTTCCAGTACAGCATGCTGGGAAATTAATTTATGTGGAAAAATGTCATTCTCCAAAAAAGTAGAATGAGAGAGTGTTAACAGGAGTGATATGCTGTCTCTCTCCTATGAAAATACTATTGATTGAACTTTTTTACAATAGCAGAAATAGGCCTAATCCTATCCATCCAAATAGCAGGGTTTGTTTTTTTTTCCTCCAAATGAACAAACTAGCCATTGTCATATCCTTAAAAATCAAAAAATGCCTTTTCCTTCCCTGTCCTTTGCTTGATTCCTACTCCTTCCTTTGTACAAGCAAGCAGGGCCCTTAACCAATAGGGGTTCATCCACCCCACCCCCGAAACCTCAAAGTGTTAATGAATGATTCAGAAAGAAAACATCCTATTCTTTTCCTAAAAACATGCCCATTCAGAAAAAATACTTTTTCTAGTTTGGTGACTCATAAGGGGGAAAAGGTTAGGTCAGCAAAAACAGAGAGAGTGGAACACTGGGGGAAAAAAGTCTTGTTTTACGAGATGAAT